ATGTTTGTCGGGTCATTGGATGACATTGTTCATCGTTGTAGAGTGTTGATCAGGTCTTTGGGTGATATTGTTCAAAGCTGTAGAATGTTGCCGAGATCACTGGATGACATTGTCCAATGCTATAGAATGTTTGTCAGGTCCTCCAAACCCAAAACACGTCTAACAGAATGATGTAGTTTTTCACTTTCCCTGACGATTTTTTGTCGGTACCTGTCAGATAGTGACAGCCATTATGTTTGTGGACATAATGTGTGATAAGGTGCTGGCAAAATTCTGCCCGATGTTTATCATCCTGTTGAAAACAGTCTGTGATTTTGCTGACAATGCAAACATGGCTTTGAATGATGGTGTTACCATGACCACCAAAATGAATATTCAGTGAAACTCATTGCAAGAAGGGGTGAACTTTTCAAATTCACAGTATTGATCTTGTCGACGAGACATACACTATTCTGTCAGGTGTTAGTAGGGTCTGATGCTGTTCAGTTGGCGAGCACGCCACTCACGCCTACATGTCAGGTAAAGCTGTAAAGTGTTGACATTGGATGAAGTTCAATTCATGTGGGCATGGCACCCAAATCCCAAGTAGGAATATAAATTCACTTACCCTTGATATTCCAATCAATGGCATCAGGAATATCCGTTAATGGCATATCAAGTTTATGGAATGGATATCCTTCATGGGGCACACCACTGTAACGATATCCATTCATTGTCTTCAGTTCATTCTGGCTTCTATCAGCAAGGTGATTAACTGCCAGCTTGTATGTCAGTCCTGCACGGTTCTTGGAGTGTATGTATCTACCAGACACAAAGATTTTAATTATTTCATATCAATCAATATCCTGGGATTATATATTTATTACATGCATATTTCCACAGTATGACATAGTGAAACAACAGAGTGTTGAAACTATTGCTGAAATAATACAGAATACAAAAATATCATTGCATACATCATGTACGCTAATTTTCTTATCACCATGGTGTTCTATTTCACACCTTGCAAACACTGTATGGTAATTCTGCTTATTGCCGCCAAATTGCTGAGATTAGTTAAAATTTCAACTGATTTTGTCAAATTGCAAAATGAACCATTGTTATCACATTCTGTAGTTATTGGATTGTATATAACCCCGAAAGCTACTGACAACATTCAGGCAATGCATACTATGAAACAATTTCGACAGTTCATGATGTAACACTTTCTGATACACAAGTTATGCATTTCATGAACTTAATATATCACTTCATTAATAGTGTATGTTACTGAATGAAGTCACAGTCAAAATAAATATGTTGCTTCTAGAGTTAGGCCACAGCCACCACCTGAAAGTTCTATTTTTAGTTGACATATGGCCACTGACACAACCTGACAGTCCCATTATCAGCTGAGAGATGGCCACTGACACAACCTGACAGTCCCATTATCAGCTGAGAGATGGCCACAACCACCACCTGACAGTCCCCATTATCAGCTGAGAGATGGCCACAACCACCACCTGACAGTCCCATTATCAGCTGAGAGATGGCCACAACCATCACCTGACAGTCCCATTATCAGCTGAGAGATGGCCACTGACACAACCTGACAGTCCCATTATCAGCTGAGAGATGGCCACTACCACCACCTGACAGTCCCCATTATCAGCTGAGAGATGGCCACAACCACCACCTGACAGTCCCATTATCAGCTGAGAGATGGCCACAACCATCACCTGACAGTCCCATTATCAGCTG